GTTATGAACCCCCCCCCCCAAAACAAAACAAAACAAAAAACAATGCCCAGAGTGGCAAGAAGAGGGATGAGTTAGATGGCTCATGGCCCACTAGTCCCCTTTCAGGGGCCACTCGATCGGCTTTTAGGAGTTGGGGGCATTGATCTTTTGTTAGGTTCTTCGAGCTTACATATGGCTGATGAGGAGAGCAGCAGTTAGACTGCCACAGAAGAGGTGTTAGGGTTCAGATATAGCCGCATTCTAACCACTTGGACACCAGACTCAGCCTGATGGACATCTATTGAATGATGAACAAAAACTGACCAGTCAGGGCCATAATCTGGACTCGGGAGCCAGACAATGATGCCGATCTGTTTCTAAGGCGGGTTTTTTTTTTTTTTTTTATATGAAAAACCGTAACCAGGTAAGAAAGTATAGGAAGGTGGGGGGGCGTCTTACATCATTTTGACTAGCTAAACATAACTGATTTTGTTCCAAGTGCATTGTGTTGTATGTAGGTAGCTAGACAAAGCACTTTAAGCTGATTGGCTGGGATTTAGGGTAGGAGAGTTCTTGGAGGCTTTCCAGCTTTCTGGGAGTAAGGAACATAGCAGGATATAGCAATCTTAACTCTAACAGAACATACATTTATCTTTAATTCAAGCAGAACATGCATTTATCTCTATTGCTTTGTTTTAAGCAGCAAGTATTGAATTGTATCCTGTTCTCAGGCACATAAAGCCTGGGAATTTGAACTTAACTTTATCTCTTAATCCAGATGGGGACTGGGAGGTAAAATGGCTTCTGACAGGCTAAACTTCTGATATGCTAAAGGCCACAGCAGATGTTGACAGAGGAGCCACTTTTATGCTAAGAACTACAGTAGGTCTCAATAGAGGGGCTTCAGAATTGAAGCAGGTTACAACAGAGGGTTCATCCAACAGACCACGATAACTCTTAACAGTTGGTGAAGTCCCAGAACAAAAGTCAGGAGGTAATGAGTGTACAATTTTTTGGGGAGGGAACATTCCTCTGCACATTATGGTTGTGTAGCTTGGTGGTTTTGTGGGCCTCCTAACAGTTGGGATGAGAGCTGTCTTTGACTCTTGCCAGTTTGGGGGACCCCTTTCCTTCCTCTGGATTGGCTCATTCAGCCTTAATATGAAGGGATGTCCCTAGTCTTATTACAGCTTGATATGCCATGTTTGGTTGATATCCCTGGGAGGCCTGCCCTTTTCTGAAAGGAAGTGGTGGAGGAGTGGATGAAGGGAAAGAGTGCAAGAGGAGAGGTGGAGGGGAGGGAGGAGGAGAGGAGGAAGGGAAAACTGCTGTGGATGTAATGTGTGAGAGAAGAAAAAAAAAGAGGAAACAAAGTTGTGAAGAAGGATTTTACATCAGGATTAACATGATGCAATGTAACTGTAACGTAATGTTAAATACAACTGTATAACTGGCTGAACCCAGAGTTCTGTAAAAGGATAAGGTAACTGGAATTAGTTGTTTGTTTACATCATACTCCTGCAAAAGGAATAAGCATCTTATTTTTGTAAGATTTGTAAACGAAGTCAGTTAAAGTCAGCACCTAAGGAATGAATCTGAAGAAAAAATAAATGATGAATTCTGCTGTTGTTGCTTTTGTTTTTGGAAACAGGGTTTCTCTGTGTAGCCCTGGATGTCCTGGAACTCACTCTGTAGACTGAGTTGGCCTGGAATTTATCTCCTGAGTGCTGGGATTAAGGGCATGCACCACCACTGGGCAGCATTGATGAACTGTTTAATATGGTTTTCAAATATTTACCATGCCAGCTATTATTTAATAAAACAAAAAAATTGTGGTTAGAAACAATTTGATAAGGTATAAGGTAAAATTTTAGTAATTGGGACTATTACCTTAAATGATTATATCTAGTATGTCAAAACATGACAATACAGATTTTGTTAACATTAATTTGTTATACTTTTTTCTTCTTTTTCTTTTCTTTTCTTTTTTAGACAGAGTTTCTTTGCATAGCTTTGGCCATCCTAGACTTGCTTTGTAGGCTAGGCTGGCCTCACACTCACAGAGATCTGCCTGCCTCTGCCTTCCTGAGTGCTGGGATCACATGCACCACCATGCTTGGCTAACTTGTTATTCTTATATCGTCAGGCCACATAAAGAGTCAATTTATTTCCTCAAAAAGAAACGATTTTCAATTTCCGTTCTAAAAAGTATACTCCAGCCTGGAAGTAATGATGAATGCCTTTAATCCCAGCACTTGGGAGGCAGCCAAGGCTACATACACAGAAAAGCCCTTACACACACACACACACACACACACACAAAAAAAAAAAAAAAAAAAAAAAAAAAAAAAAAAAAAAAAAAAAAAAAGTATGCTTGCTTTCTCTTCAGTGTGTACTTCTCCAGAACACTCTGTAATACCCCTAAGTTACCACCGGAGTAGTAGCTTGCCATGTCAAGGGTAAATGATTAATGTCACAATTTTTTTTTTTTTTTTAAATTAACCCTACTTGGAATCTGACTCCCTCTTCTGGCCTCCATAGGCAGCAAGCACGCATATGATGCACAGATGTACAAGTAGGTAAAATATGCATATGCTTAAAATAAAAATAATAACGAAAAAAATTAACCCTACTAACAGAACCTTTTGAAATTTTCTACACCATCTTCAATCCATAGATTCAACCAACAGATGAAAGACAAAAGCAACCAGTCATGTCAAATTTGTAATACATAACTTACGTGTATGAACCGAAGCCAACTTTTTGCTCTTTCTGTTGATGGACAGCTGTGTAATCCATCACATACTGGCAGCAGAAAGCATGTTTCTTAACATAATTTTATTTAAAAATTGATTGGTATACAGGCATAATTTGTTTTATATATATATATATTTTATTTTATTTTATTTATTTTTTATTTTTTTTCTTTTTCAAGACAGGGTTTCTCCTGTAGCCCTGGCTGTCCTGAAACTTGATTTGTAGACCAGGCTGCCCTTTAACTCACAGAAATCTGCCTGCCTCTCTCCCTGAGTGCTGGGATTACAGGTATGTGCTACCATGCCCAGCTAGGGGCATAATTTGCAAAGAGAGACAACTAAATTTAAGTTAGCTTTTGGCTTTTGGATCATATTACTAGAAAACACCTACAAGCATCATTGCCAAAGCCTGTGTACTCCTTGTAAGCTTCAAGGTGTGGGTGCTCGTACTGGACCTCTCTATCTGGCCAGAGAATACATTATTTTCTCAAAGCACCACAGGTGAGGCCAGGTTGGAGAAAATCTCCTTCATCTAAGTCATCTCCTCCTGAAGAATTGGAAAACCTGAGATACCACTTAAGAGAATCACTCACTCTACAGGTACAAAACCAACTGTCAGAGACATGGCTTGGATATTCTGAGTAACTTTCCAAAGCTGTGAGTTTGATGACAGAGTATCTAGCACCCTCTTTTAATGAGAGAGCATGGGTGGCTAGGGTATGGACCCTGAATGTAGCCTTTGGTAAGAAGAAGGATGCCAGGGTAGAGGGCATGGCCAACTGAAGTAGCATGCAGGTCTCATAGCAGTCACAGGTTCTCCTGTTTGCAGCATCCCTGTATGTCAATTCTGGGGACACGGCGGGCAGTGTAATTGCTATTTGCCCTTCTGTCATTTGAGAATTTTAGGATGTGGGTGAAAGCTTTTTAAGATTCTCTGCTGGGCAAGAGGATCCGCCCTGTCATGTGAGACATGAGGAGCAATTCATCTTTAGATGAGGAGGGCTTGATGTTTGTTTGTTTGTTTTGGCTACATGGTGGGAGTGGGTCAGGCCGTGCGGCAAGTCTTAACTTCATGCATCCTTATTTTTGTCTGTTTTGTTTTGTTTTGTTTTGTGAGACAGGGTTTCTCTGTGTAGCCTTGTCTGTCCTGGACTGCCTTTGTAGACTCACCTGCCTCTGCCTCCCTGAGTGCTGGACTTATAGGTGTGTGCCACCGTGCCCAGCTATGCACCCTTATTCTGTAATGAGGCTAACATGCAGTTTACCCTGGTTGGATGATTTATGCCCCATCTAAGGAACTATTGGGCCTTCTGCCATGCAAGCCTATTGTAAATTTAACCCATTTTACTCAAGCATTCAGTATTTTGGATATTATTTTATAATAAACAAACTTCGGGTTTACTTTAAACTTGCTTTGAATTACTTTTGTTAGGCTTGAGTTTGACAACAGACTCTGTAATGGGAACTATAAGTTGGTCTCTCCCTCCAAGCACCCCTGTAAATGCTACATTTGTATATAGCATTAACTTGTGTTTACAATAGGTTAGTAACTCTCTGGTGAGTTAGACACACCCCGTTTTCTTGCTACATGGTCCAACTTGGCCTTGAACTCCAGGAATGGAATTGTCAGTCTTCTGTCTCTACAGTACCTGGATTACCAGGGTGCGCCACCACAGGCAGCTTCTCCCAGGGACTTTTGTGCTTTTCAATAGCCCTTAGGACCCAGGTTGAGTTATTAACTTTGTCAAACACAAGAAAAAAGCTCAGCCAGATATTGGTAGACTTTCTCGTTTCCCTCTTTATGAGATTTATGAGATCATTCTCTGAAACGAAGGAACTGGCAGTGGCTCCATTTTCTTTTCTTTTTTTTTTTTTTTTTTTGAAACAGGGTGTCTCTTTGTAGCCTTGACTGTCTTAGACTCATATTGTAGACCAGGCTGGCCTCGAACTCACAGAGATCGGATTGCCTCTGCCTCCCAGAGCGCTGAGATTACAAGGCGTGCGACACCCCGCCCGGCTTGTGGCTCGATTTTCAAATTTCTTTTGCAAAGCAAACAGCGCTGAAGCGGGGCAGCTGGAAACGCCACCTGGAACTCTGGGCGCGCAGTCAGACTCGACGCCACGCCCCCACCCGAAGCCCCGGAGGAGGAAGTGGCGCAGCCACCGAGAGGAGGCGGAGGCTGGCTAGAGCGGCCAGGCCCGCGGACGGCGAGGGGCGGGGATTCGGGGCGGAGCCTCCGGAGCGGCGCGGGCTCAGGTGAGCGCTTCCCGGCGGCGCTGGCTGGCCCCTGGAGCTCTGCCGCGGAAGCTTCGCGAACCGTGGGGGCTCAGGTGGAGTATCCTGAGGAGGTCCGGGATATCTGGCCAGGATCTGGCCTCGGTCCCGGCTGGAGGTCGGGAGGGCCTCTGGGACGGAGTGTGAGTGGAGCGCTCACCTCGGGGTGAGAGTGGAGGGGCTTGATGGAGGGGGCTCTGAAGCAGGTTCGAGGCCCTTCTCTTCCTCCAGCCTCCTGTGTGACCTTGGACTAGTCTTGCTCTCACTGAGCTTCTGCCACCGCAGCGGTGAAATGGAGGCAGGACGGTCCGCCGAGAGTTGGGACACACAGAGCTCTGTTCGGCAGAGAAACCCCAGTCTTCCTCTGTCTCTCTTCCCCGGGACAGTGTTAGTGGAATGTGAATCATGGGAGTGCCTAAGAGTTTGAGTGACCTTGGTCGAGTCCCGTGTATTGACGTTTCTCTACATAGTGATGGACAGACCTCTTGTAATATCCTTGTACTATTTTGGTGTTACTGATTTAGACAGAAACACGGTAGTGCCCCTCTCACCACCAGTGTCCTTTTTAGGTATGCGGGAGAGAAAATCTCTTCAGAGGATTGACTAGATCTCAGCCCAGGTTCCCTTTACTCTAAAGCACTCTTCCATTTATTTTTCTCTTGGTAACTGGAGGAGGAGTGATTTAATGCAAGGGTTGGCTCGCATCTCAGCTGAACAACAACCAGTACCTCCAAGGCCTAAAATTAAAGAGCAGTTTTAGGAAGCCTGACGTTCTGCCTGTTTTGTTTCTGTTTCGATGGCAGGAAGGCAAGATGACTTTCCTACTCCAAGATTGGAACAGCTGAAGAAACCACAAGACAAAATGAGAACCACAAAGGTCTACAAACTTGTCATCCACAAGAAGGGCTTTGGGGGCAGTGGTCAGTATTGATTGATCTTTGGGGATCGTGTGAGTTGGCTGAAGTTATGTGCCCAACACAATGCCTTAAAAATTACCCATATCACATTTGAGGCTAGATAGATAAATGACTAAAGCAATAACAGCCGTCAGGGGAATGGTTGGAAATGATAGCATAAGATCTTTTTGAAAAGCATTCACATTCAGATTTTCTTTGTGTTCTTGAATCCAGGCCTTATCATGTACCTTGGCTCATTTGGAATGCACTGTGTAGCCCAAGCTGGTCCAGATTCCATTATTCTCCTGTTTGTGTATCTGGAAATGCTCTGCCACACCTGACTTAATTTTCCCTTCTGTTTTTGTTTTGTTTTCCTCATGTGCAGTGCCAGGAATTTAACCCAATGCCTCATATGTACTAGAAAAAGCTCTCTGCCACAGAGCTGCCCCTCCCTATTTTTTTTTTTTTAATATTATTTACTTCAAAAATCAGAATTACTGACACAGTAAGATGGTTTTGTTTTGTTTTTGAGACAAGAACCCTATAGCCCATCCTGGCTTTGAACACAATAGATACTGGAGGATGATCTTGAATTTCTGACCTTCCTCCCTCCATACCCAAGTGCTGGGATTTCAGGCATGTTCTTCCACCAGTTTTATGCGGTTCAGGATAAAGAACCAATGCTTTGTGCGTGCTAACAAGCACTCTACCAAGGAGCAACACCCTCAGCCTTCAATGAGGTCCTTTTTCACTTTAAATTTTATTTAATATTTATTTATTCACAGGTGTACACCTGTGTTATGTGGGTCCTCTTTCTCTCTGTGTGTATGCATGTGTGTGTGTATGAAAGATAGGTACCAACCTTTAGTATTGTTCCTCAGGAGCCATTAGGCTGTTTTTTGGTTTGGTTTTTTTGACAGGGTCTCACATTGTATATTTTTCTGTTTGCTATGCTGACCAGGCTGGCCTTGAACTTACAGAAATATCTTTCCTACTGAGTGCTAAGTGCTGGAATTAAAGGTATATGCCATTGTGCCTGGCCACTGTGGTTTTTTGTTCTGTTTTGTTTTGTTTTGTTTTGTTTTTTGTTTTTTGGACTGGGTTTCTTTGTGTAACAGCCCTGGTTGGCCTGGACTTGATTTCTAGACTAGCCTGGCCTTGAATTCACAGAGAATTTTTATTTTTCTCACAGAGAAATTTTATGAATTTTTATTCATTTGTTTATTTTTTTTCACCTTGATTTTTGAGACAGTTCCTCAGTGGGATCTGGAGCTTGCCCATTAGACTAGGCTAGCTGGACAGTGAAGCTGAGTGATGGCTCTGACAGAAACTCCTTGGATCCATTATGTGTTGATTTGGAATTAATTTGGTACTTGTATGTTTAGAAACTGGAATTAATTTGGTACTTGTATGTTTAGAAACCTTTTGTTGTCAAATTATTACAGTCTTTACATTTAGTCATATAAATCCTGTATGGGGTTGCAACCCACTATTTATGAAACTGGCCTAAACATTTATGAAGCATAGATAGCTATTGAATAAACACAGAGGTCCTTTCAGCACAGGGAAAAATAAGAGTACAGTGTATGTAGGCCTGTGTGTGCAGGACAGATGTAGCGTGGTGATACACCTAGGAGAATATATTCTAACCAGTGTGCCTATCAAATATACAGACTGTGAGGATGGCATATACCTTTAATCCTAGCATGTGGCTAGAACAGGCAGGCAGATCTCTTGAGAGTACAAGACCAGCCTGGTCTACAAAGGACAGCTTGGGTTGCCCCCTTTTGCTATCTATTTTATTTATTTGTTTCTTTCTTTATTTTTATTTTTTATTTTTTTTGAGACAGAGTTTCTCTATGTAACAGCCCCAGCTGATCAGGCTGGCCTCGGACTCATAGTGATGTTCTGCCTCCCAAGCACTGGGATTAAAGGCGTGTACCACCGATGCCTGGCTGCCCTTGTCTTAAAAAAACCAAAAAACAACCAACTAAACAAGCAAAAATAAAATAAATAAGAAGAAAGAAAAAGAGAGAGAGAGAGAAAGAAGGAGAGAGGGAGAGAAGAGAAAAGAAATGAAACAAGTAAAATGTGCCCAGGCAGCTTAATTTAGACAATGGACATTCATCACAGGGACTTCACACAGATTGGACCAAAAATTGTCAGTGGAACATTCCAAACTGAGATTAACCCAATTAGTCCTTCACGAGGGTGAACTTTACAGAGTATAATTATACTTGAAGTCTCCCTTTATTTTGGAGTGGATGGATGGGTGGACTAATTCATTGATTGATACCGAGGATTGGGATTGCAGCCAGGGTCTCATGCAAGCTAGGCATTTACTTTATGGAGCTTACCCCAGCCCCTATAGTCGAAAGGCTGTTTTAGACCCTAATGTGAACCAACACTTAGAGTCTGGACTATTTAGCTCAAGTTTTATAACACATAAGAGGTGGTGAGCCTAATTTAGACAGAAGGGAACTCCCAGACTTGTAATGAGCTCTGACTATAATTTTACTGCCTGTCTACCTTTAGACAAGTCAGTTTACCTCTCAGGATATTTCCTTGCTCTTGTTAGTACTAAAGATTTACTGGGAGGGTCTAATTAAGACAGTGTTTAAGGGATTTCTTTGAATATTATGTAAATATGAGTGCTTTATTGGGACTAAGGCTCATTCCATCATAGGTATTTTAGAGAGTAAAAGATATGCTAGAGCCATAATTCCCTGAATCATGGGCTGCTTTTTTCATGGGAGTAGTAGGATTGTAGAAAGAGCATGTGCTTGGAGACAGGTTCCCTGATCCTGTCCAACTCAGCCGTTTACTGTTGTGGCCATAGATACTTCTAAATTTTGAGCTGAGGGTGGAAACCAGGCTCTCCATCATGCTAGGTAAGTACTTTACCACTGACTTACAGCCCCAGCCTTATGCAAATCATTTAGCTGTTCTAAAACTGGATTCAAAATGGGAAAAGGCTGAGTATTTGCATAAGTTACATGCTTAGTACCTTATAAAACAGGAAAATAAAGTCAAAACAAGTGGAGGCTGGTGATGGCTCATGGGGTAAGGACACTTGCTGCCACACCTAATCTGAGTTTAATCTCTGGGTCTCATATGGTAGAGGGAGAGAACTGATGTCTGCAGGTTGTCCTGTAACCTACACACACACACACACACACACACACACACACACACACACACACACA